AAGATCTTCATATATATATATATAAATGTTTTTTTTCCTTAGTGTTTAAAGAGGTTTCTTGTAGTTTCTTGTACAAGGATGTATTGTATGTATCATGACCGTCACCTCTCAATAGGTTGGCTGAAAGAAATAAGTTTTACCATTATCTCATTGTTATTTTAAAAAAATTATTAGCAATGTTCCTGTCTTCACACAAAGTTGGTAGACACTTCGCGAATTAGTGATTTCGTCGAGATGTGTGTAAATTCGCTTGCATATTTTTGACCGTTGAACAAAAAAAAAAAATTATGTTATTTATCATTTTATTTTTGTACCTTACAAAAATAAAAGATTAATATTTTAACTAAAATTATTTATTTATTTTTATTTATTATTATTTTTTACTAAAATTATTAATTAACATAGCATTATTGCTGCAATATTGATTATAAACTTCAATATTACAAATGAGATTCATTCTTACATGAATGATAGCACTTGACTAGATTCAGCTGATTCAATGATTCAAGCTACAATGTTTTAATAAATATTTATCAAAAAATTATTAAAAAAAAAATCAAGTGACATAGAAAATAATAAAATATAAAAAGTAGCGTTAAAAGTGTCTGATCCATGCCCCCAGCCCGAGGCTTGCATTCTCTTTAGTGGTGTCCGGTGAACATCGAATATTTTTTTCATGAATATGATTAACTTTGTAGATGAAAATTTCTAAATACCCAATTAAGTATTGTTGGATATCTTATTTATTAAAATTAAATGGTTTTTTTAAATTTTTTTGAGCCATAATATTAGTCTAAAGTTGTAATGGGATTAGCACAATTACATTATAGATAAATGTTATTTCAGAAAAAAAAAAACTAAAACTTTTATCCAAAAAAATTAAAAAAAGAGAGAGAAAATGATGTAACACCTTAATAGTTAAACCATCTCCGATGCTTACCGAAATCCTTACCCAAATTTGAGTAAAAAAATAGGTACAAAGTTTGATTTAATACAAAATACTTCAATGGAGAAACTTAAAGTTAAAGGCGGATAAACCCAAATTTAAAGGAAAATAAAGTATGACTATTGGATCTTTAAAATATAATAAAATTTAACCATTAGTGATTTGAATAAAAGTTTGAATCTGCCAAAATTTAGTATAAGTTTGGGTATAACATTGGAGAAGGTTTTTAAGATTATTTTTATCCAAACTTAAATTTGAGTATACTTTGACTCCATGACCACGGCCTTTAACCCCCTAATTTCACATTTAGAGGTATTATCTAACTATGAATCATCTAACCATAAGAGCATACTATCGTACTATTAAATAAATAAAAAACATTCAACACCCAATAACTAGCTAGATAAATCCCAAATAAAAAAAAAACATAAACAAATCCTTTGGTTTACATCCAAAAATCAAAATAATAATTCTTTCAACTAACTAATGAACAAATATTCCAAAATCAGTATCCTCCCTTTATGTAGCTTGTCATTCAACATCATTAATTTCACTAGTTTACCTGCAAAAAAAGAGAGAAGACAGATGAACATAGAATTATGAGAGAGAGAGAGAGAGAGAGAGAGGAGGACCGAATTTTGGTGTTTAGGTGTAGATTTAGGGTGCGTGGGGGAAGGTTCAAAAATTAAAATTTTCAAATGGTATAAAAATTTTGGGAATCAATATGGTATGTCAGATTGAAAATTGTGAGATGATTTGAGACTTTAATAACCTGAAACAGATTAGGATAACGTCCGTCGGATGATGCCTTATTTAATCATGAAACGATCTCAATCGTTTTAACTTTTAGATTTAAATTTAGTTATATTTAATTATATAGATGTAAAATGTGGCTCATTCAAGATTCTGGCTACATAAGAACTAATTAAAATTTTAATCTATTATATTTATTAAATTAATTATGAATTTTAATATTAAGTTTAAGCCAACTTTTAATTTTAATAATTATAATTATTAAAATTATATCTCAAAAACATTTTCCTTGTTGCAAACAAGTTTCCAGTACATGGGTTCACTAGTAGAGCTAGGGGCCCCAAAGCCCACTCACCTTGTGTTTGGTTTAAATATTAGGAATGACCGGATTATATAATATTGTTCATTCATTATCTATTCATCCGGCCCTGGATTAATTATAGTGATAATCTCTCCTCAACCCATGTTTGGTTTAAGTATATTAAGAAATAATAGACCCCATATTTATTCTATCCAATACTTTATTTGGATGGAATAGTGAATGATGGTATAAACATTAAATTACTAAAAAACTCTCAAGATAAATAGTGATATTTATATCCTAGAAATACTTGAGGGTAACAATGTCTTTTGACCAAATACATTCCAATTAGACTATTTAAACCCACCAAAAAGTTGGGCTTATTTAAGAGGTTGTATGTAATATTAAATACACTATTCATCCGAGCCGATATTATTTTTAGGTGATAATTCCGAGCCCAAAATATATATCCAAACATGGGTATAACATGGATAAGGTGGGCTCAGCGTTTAGTCTCTTTTATTATGTGAGATTTTTTTTTAAATTGATTTTAATTCAAACGTAAACGTACTTACAATTGGCTTACATATGAATTCTATCTTCTGTGAGATGTCGTCTCTATTTTTTCGAGTGTTGCTTGATGACTTTAAAGTTAGTACTATGCTTAGGCCTAACATTTTTGTTTGTTGGTTTTTCTATTTTAATATCTTAGTGAAAATATTTGAGGATAGATTAAAAAATTGAAGATTGTGAAAATTTGATTATGTAACTTGTGGAGTGATCAATGAATGATTGATAGCTTTTTAATTATAAAATGAAAACTAGCCCTATTTTTTTACAAATAGTATTAATTAGTCCTTTTCTTTTTTGCTTATATATATACTATATTTATTGGCTTTCAAACTTTTTAAATAGATTTTTATATATGTATTATTTTACTTATTGCCAATTAGGAGAAAAAAAAACTCTTCAAAAAAAATTAGGAGAAAAAAGAATTAGATTATGGTTCTACCCTACTTCGGTTACTAAAGTTCGGTGATGGCTTTGAGTCATGGAGGTTACACATTTAGGTAATTCTAAACAAAATTGTGAAACCTGATGGTGTAAAAGACCGAAAAACACGTAAGAATGAGTTGTTGTGAGTAATGAATTGAGAGCAGGAAAATAAAAACACGAAGATAAAAGTTACTCGTCTTATTGAAGAGAAAGAGTAATCCACTATTGAAGAGAGGTTCTTACATCTAGGGGTGCGTGTTATTAATTACTCAATCAAGAAAATATTGGGGGAATCTTGGCAATTAAGAAACTTAGGCCAAAGGCATGGTGGAGCTTCTAGATGACTTAGCTTCATGCCCAGAGTAGGCTTTCTCGAGAGGTTCCTCCTTTGCTTCGTGCCCAAGGTAGGCTTTCTTGAGAGGTTCCTCCTTTGTTCATTTAGGTAAAAGCAATTCACATGGTGAAGAAAATTGGGAGAATCTTGGCATTTAAGAAACTTAAGCCAAAGGCATGGTGGAGCTTCTAGATGACTTAGCTTCGTGCCAACAGTAGGCTTTCTTGAGAGGTTCCTCCTTTGTTCATTTAGGTAAAACAATTCACATGGTGGAGAAAGTTGGGAGAATCTTGGCAATTGAGAAACTTAGGCCAAAGGCATGGTGCAACTTCTAGATGACTTATCTTCGTGCACACGGTAGGCTTTCTCGAGAGGTTCCTCCTTTCCTTCGTGCCCACGGTAGGCTTTCTCGAGAGGTTCCTCCTTTATTCATTTATGTAAAAGCAATTTACATGGTGAAGAAAATTGGGAGAATTTTGGCAATTGAGAAACTTAGGCCAAAGACATGGTGGAACTTCTAGATGACTTAGCTTCATGCCCATGGTAGGCTTTCTTGAGAGGTTCCTCCTTTGCTTCGTGCCCAAGGTAGGCTTTCTCGAGAGGTTCCTCCTTTGTTCATTTAGGTAAAAGCAATTTAGATGGTGGAGAAAGTTGGGAGAATCTTGGGAATTGAGAAACTTAGGCCAAAGGCATGGTGGAGCTTCTAGATGACATAGCTTCATGCCCACGGTAGGCTTTCTCGAGAGGTTCCTCCTTTGTTCATTTAGGTAAAAGGAATTCACATGGTGCAGAAAGTTGGGAGAATCTTGGGAATTGAGAAACTTAGGCCAAAGGCATGGTGGAGCTTCTAGATGACATAGCTTCATGCCCACGGTAAGCTTTCTTGAGAGGTTCCTCCTTTGTTCATTTAGGTAAAAGCAATTCATATGGTGGAGAAAGTTGGGAGAATCTCTGCATTTTGAGAAACTAAAGCCAAAGGCATGGTGGAGCTTCTAGATGACTTAGTTTCGTGTCCACAGTATGTTTTCTCGGGAGGTTCCTCCTTTGTTCATTTAGGTAATTTCCGTGTTGAACAACATTCCTGAACTTGCCAAAAAAAGAAAGAAAGAAAGAAAGATATATATCTATAGCAAATCAGTGAATAAAAATACATTAATTGATTGGGAAACAAGTTTGTATCCAAAGTCTTTTTTGCTACACGGCAACAGAGGCAAAGGAATATAGGTGTACTTGTTTGGTTGAAAATAGAATTTTATTTAATCCTGAAACTCACAATTAATTATACTTTAGTACCTAACACCAACAAGATTAGCAACCACCATTATCCTCTCACCTTTATTAGGTAGTATTTGTATAATTTAACCAATTTTATACAATATTGCAACATATGCAGTGAACATATTCTTATAGTATTGTTGTGCCCATGTAGATATTAGAACACAATAAGCAGAGATGAAGTTTTGAGGTGAGTTTAATAATGATCAACTATTGTATGTCATTAGTTTATTTTAGCGTATGTATAAACAAGGGCACAAGAAATCTTTTTAGATTGGATGGGCTGATGGGAAATCCAGGCAAATAAAGAAGTAAAAAGGATCCTTCGTTTATTAATATCTTCTTGCTGCAACTTTCAAAGCCATACCATACCATCTCTCTCTCTCTCTCTCTCTCTCTCTCTCATAGACACACACAAGAAGATGGAGATTTTACATTTCAGCCATGACCATCCACTGAATTTCAAGGATGTGCAAAAGAACGAAGGTACGGATGTTTTGTGCTATGGGTGTAAAAAACCAATCTTAGACCATGCGTATTGTTGTAGAGAGTGTGATTACTTCCTACATAAGAGCTGTGCAGAACTTAACCGGGAGATTAAAGATCCCATACACCCCGAACACCTTTTAACCCTTGATGCAGGTTCAAGTTCATACATTTGTGATGCATGTAAACAAGGTTGGGATCGGTTCATTTACTGTTGTTACCAGTGTGACTTTGGCATCTGCATGCCGTGTTGGTTGGAGGAGCGCATGATTAAACTTGAAATTCACCAACACCCATTATCCGTCCTACTTAGACCATCCTTGTTCTTTTGTGATATTTGCAGCATCGAAGATAAAGGCACATCTTATGTATGTCACAGCTGTCAATTTTGGATTCATAAAAGTTGTGCCTCACTACCTAACACTATCAAGATTAATGATCACCATCATCCTCTCACCTTAACCAAGCAGTATCTATATAATATTACCAATTTTATACAGCAATGCAACAAATGTGACAAGTTCCTTTGGGCAACTTCTTCAGTTTACTGTTGTGGCCGCTGTTAGATATTTTGTCCATGTAAAGTGCACAACATCAAAGGCAAGGTCGTCGAGGTGAGTTTAATCATTTTGTCTTGTTTGTGTTCTCTCCCCTCCCTTCTCTCTGCCTCTCCCTCCCCCTTAACAAAATCCTTGCGGTGCTTTTAATTCTTGTCAACTAAAACTTTTTCTCCTAATTTTGTGATTTCAGAGATGCTGAAATAAATAGCAGTAATAAAGATGACGAACTTCTTGAATCTAATCTAGTAAGTTTACCGGTGAATGATGAATTTGTAGATTTGGTTAGACATTTTGTTAAAGATATAAACGTTAACAAGTTTGAGAAAGAAACAAAGATTAATGATTGGAGCCATCAGCATCCGTTACTTCTTTTCGATGTGCAAAATATCAATGAGGTGAAGGATGATAAAATCTTATGTAATGCTTGTGTGCAACCTATCTCCCTTCCATTTTACGGCTGTCGTCAATGCAATTACTTTATGCACTTAGGCTGTGCCCACTTACCAGATGAGGTTCAACACCCAAGTCACCCTGAACACTTGCTTAAGCTTGGGAGATTCACTAGCATCTATTCGCTCATCACATGTGACTGTTGCAACATGAATAGCAATGGATTATTCTACTGGTGTAAAACTTGTAAATTCTATGTTGATGTCAAATGTGCTTTTCTACCTAGCACTATCAAACATGAATCTCACAAGCACCCCCTAGTTCTAGGGGAAGGTTCACATTCTGTTTGCAAGTCATGTGGTTACAAGTCCTCAACGTTCATATTCAGATGTGATACTTGCAATTTCAATCTGGACTACAATTGTGCTTTGTTATCAAAAAATGTCAAGCACCGGTGGGATCAGCATCCCTTTATCCTGACCTATCGTCCTCCTAATGATCATCCCGACGAATTTCATTGTGAATTTTGCGAGGAAGAAATAAATCCCCAGTATTGGATGTACTATTGTCATCATTGCGACCAATCTTTATATGCTAGATGCATTTATGACAATTGGTCAAAAACCAAGTTTGGGGGCACCGTACAAGTTGATCATCACTCACACCCTCTCACATTTGTCCGAAAGATGAAAGAGTTCGCGTGTTGCAGATGTGATAAACCTTCTAAATATAACACCTTATTGGAATGTCGTGAATGTAATTATACGATATGCAGAGATTGTTTTGAATGATGCAATTCATTAAAATCTGTTTTTTTTGGTTGAGCATACTAGACTATGATTAGTGGGAGCATTTCTGTAGTTTGTATAGATTCCTATTATGTAATACTGCTTGACATAAAAGGACAGAATGAACAATCCCAAATTAATTAGTATAATAAATTAATAATTCCTCCTCAGTATGAAAGGGAATATACAGAAGCTTTTAAAGTTCATCTTGAATTCAGTACAGAACAAACTACAGTCACAACTAGCCTTGATCGAACTCAAAACTTGGGCTAATAATTGAGTCAAACTATTCAGATTTGGTTCGGGTTCGGCTTAGGTAGGACTCATCGAGCTCGGCTCATGTACTAAACGAGCCAACATTGAACAAATTTTTTAGCTTATTTAGAAAAAACAAAACTAAAAAATTCGGCTCATTTATATGTAAAATAGTCAAGTTATTCGGGTTTGGTTCGTTTTAGGCTCTGCCCGAGCTTAGTTCATTTTAGGCTCGGCTTGATTATTAGCCCTACTCAAAACCCCTAAATGTTCCAATTCATCAGCAAACATGTCTATAATTTGATCGCTGAAAAATTAAAATGGGACCAATGCCAAAACTGTTTGTATGAAAATTTGATATATGTATGTATGTATTTACATCTCTCTCTCTCTCTCTCTCTCTCTCTCTCTCTCTCTCTGGCGTTGAGCTCTAATATCATATTTTGTCAAAATACAAAGAAAAATTATCACAATTGTGTAGTAGCATCTGGCCAGTTACAATTTGAGGCCTAGAGTAACAAGTTTATAGAATACATTTTAAATTTAATTATTTATTTAAAATTCATTCTTTCCATTTTTTGAGAAATAAATTGACAAAAAAAAAAATGGAAAAACAATATTTTTTTCATTAAAAATAGATTGAGTGAATGGGTATAATGTTTGCAAATGGATATTAATGTACGGTATACTTGAGATATCTGTGCGTGAAAGGGGCACAAACTAAGTATAGAGCTCTGTATATATAGCCAAACAATAGTATAAAAAAAATCTAGACAATCCTCTAATCTAGGCAAGACATAAAAGTCATAGTAAGAATAAAAAATAAAAAAACACTGAAAAAACCTTAATAAACAAGAATATAACTCCAACAGTATTAACATAAAAAGGGCTACATCATCCTTGCATTCAAAAAAATCTAAAATCAATTCTAGGGTCCTTTCATCATTTTTCATCATATATAATACCAATTTAGCTTGAAATGTACATATTATGAAATATTTAATACAACAAAAATTTCAATGGAGGCTCATTAAGGTCAAACTATTGTGCGTCCTGATAAATGCCCATGAATCCTAGCCCAAAAGACAAGATAGTTGGATATGAATTAATATTCATGTTCCGATATACTTGAAATAAATATGTAATAAAATTAAATAATTATTTAATAAATTTTAGTAGAAATTAAACTTTAATTTTCTAACATTAACCTTTTGTGAGTTATTTGGATCAAATTTCCGAATTAAATTTTTCAAGAGTTTTGAAATGAAATTTGGATTTGGATCAATCAAAATTCAATTTAAATTCAATCTATTAGCAAACCTACCCCCGTGCATTTACTTATAAACTAGCTTACTAGTGACCATTAACAAATTTGGATATTATATTATGCACAGAGCTTTCGTTTAGAATCACCGAGGGGTTTGCCATTTTAGACCAAACAATGCTATTTGAACTTTATTTATTGACTTAATTTAGTTACCTAATTTATTATGACTTTTTGATTGATTGTGGACCCTATTAAATATTGAAATTTGATGTTGATCCAATGATTCAAATAAAATTATATCATTAAATCAATAAATTATGTTAGATTTTTAATTCCTAATATTATTTTAGAACCATTCAAAGGTGTTACATGAGCAAATAGTTTTTGTCCAATGCTCGATTTTTATTTTTGGGTAAAAGGACCTAATGCCCTAATGGCCATCGTTGCTGTGAAAAAGGCCAAGGCCATTCGGAAGCCCAATGAGGAAGTCCAGAAAAAGAGAGCACAAAAGCTGTGCACCTGCAACATGATCATTGAAAGGTGGGTCGGTTGTGGGGTTTTGGATTCCATGTCGGTTAGTGTCGAATCTCCCTTTTACTTCTCTGTTAACAGTTTTATCTCAATAACATTTTTCTTGCTGCAAACAAGCTTCCAGTACTTGGGTTCACTAGCAGAGCTATATAGGGGCCCCAAGGCCCACGCACAATTTCTTTGAAAAAATATATGTATGGGGTGTACACATGTATTTTAGATAATATGCATACATATCCCATTGAGCTCACCCTATGTCTTCCTTACTTTAGTTGTTTAGCCTCTTTTATTATGTCATTTTTTTTTTAAATTGATTCTAGTTCAAACTTAAAAGTACTTACAATTGATTTTCATATGAATTCTATCTTTTGTGAGATGTCGTCTTTATTTTTGAAGTGTTGCTTATTGGCTTTAAAGTTAATATTTCTTACCTTGTGAAGGTTTTACATTCTTGAGATCAAAAGTTTAAATCCTCCTCCCCATCCCAAAAAAAAAACAAATAAAAAATGCTTAGGCCCAACACTTTTGTTTATTGGTTTTCAAACTTTTTAAATTGATTTTTATGTATGTATTATTTTAATTCTTGTCAATTAGGAAAAAAAAGAATTAGATTATGGTTCTATCCTACTTGGGTTACTAAAGCTTGGTGATGGCTTTGAGTCATGGACGTCACACATTTAGGCAATTCTAAGCAATAATGTTAGTAATAAAAAAAAGAAAAGAAAAGATTCCTTCAAAATCCAATGATTATACTTTTAAGAAAAATGAAAAGTAATTTACATGGTTTCTATGGTATCCCGGACAAGTAAAAGGAAAAAACCAAAATTGTTTTTGAAAAGTTATAACAAATATGTTTTAAAGTTATAACAAATAACAAATATGTTTTAAAGTTATAACAAATAACAAATCCAATCACTCATTCAACAAATAATATAATTCCAATATAAAACACAATTGAAAGGCGCGCACACACATTTACAAGGGGCACACACATTCACATAGTTGAGCACACAATTTTTGGTGTCAATTTCAGATTTGGTGTTAAATTGGGCGTTAATTTTTCATGAAATTGAAATTAGGTGTTAATTTTTCATGAAATATTAGGGTGTTAATTTCGTGAAATTGAGTTTGTAGATGTTGAGTTGAAATTAAATGTTAGTTTATTTCGATCAAATTAGACGTTGGGTGTTAATCTCATAATTTAACGAAATATTAGGGTTTTTATTGAACGTAAAGGCTTGAAAGTGAATGATAGATTTATTTTGATAGAAATTGAGTGCTAATTTTGCAATTAGATGTTGAGTTGACCGGTTATTGAGTGGTAATGTAAATTGTCATACCTTTTTTCTCTCATTTCTTGGTATTAACGCTAGGGTTTTTATTGAACATAAGGGCTTGAAAGTGAATGATAGATACACAATACATCAATCCAGATATATTTGAAGTTGTTAAACGTTCTAAGTATCAATACATCAAGACATTGTTAATATTCTTCTTCAATATAAATTTTTCAATTCTAAATGCAACTACACTGCAAGTAAACAAATACCACTGGAGGTAAACAAATATAAGTTGACCCCAGTTTTTAATTCAAATTCGATTTGAATTAAGATCTTATTAGTTGTATATAATTGATGTATATTTATGTCTCAATATACTAAAAATAAATATATAATAGAATTAAGAAACTATTTAATTAATTTTAGTAGAAATTTAAATTCCAATTTGCTAGCATTAACCTTTTTGTGAATTATTCAAATTGGACTTCTGGATTAAAATTTTCAAGAAAGAGTTTTGAAATGAAGTTGAGATTTGATTAATCGGAATTCAATTTAAATCCGATCCATTAATAAACTTATCTAACTTATGCCCGCGCATTTACTCATAACCCAGGCCAGCCAGCGACCATTAACAAATTTGGAAGAATTCGGGTATTATTTCGTGCATGGAGCTTTTGTTGAGATCGAATCACCAATGCGTTGCGCATTTAGACCCATTCAAAGGTGTTAAACGAGCAAATAGAGTTTGTCCAGTGCTCGATTTGTTTTTTTTTTGACCTAATGCTCTAATTCATGGCCATTATCGCTGAGAAGAAGGCCGAGGCCATTGGGAAGACCAATGAGGAGGTCCCGAAAAAGAGAGCACAAAAACAGTGCAACATGATAATTGAAAGGTGGGTCGGTTGTGGGGTTTTGCATTCTGTGTCGGGTGGCGTCAAATCAGCCGATTGAAAACGTATGTACAATGCACATGTCCATCTACTACCTTCAGATCCAGATCGCTATATGAGATCTTTATTAGGTGAAAAGGTAGATATTTCTTGGAGTAAGTCAGTTGTAAATTAAAAGAGTTGAAATATATGCTTTATTTTT